TGGAACAAGGTGAAATCAGTCCAAAGAATTTTGATGCACAAACTGAAAACAACATAAACAGCCACAATAATAACTCAAATAATGCCTTCATGGAGTAGGGCTTCAGATGCACCAATCATAGACCTAAATGCAAACCTAAAATGAGAGATTCAAGTCATGAAAGTTTACCTAACGGAGCTTCTCCGTTGGCTCTTCAAATCCTTAGCAAGCTTCAACCTCGTGATGAAATGAGCAAGAAATTGGATGGAAAGTCAGTGAGAATTCAAATTCGAAGGAGAGAAGGTTTTGTGTATTTTTGATGGAAACTCTCCTCTCATGCAACTATCCACATTCTGAGGTATTTAGGGTTTGTCTCCAGCTTATATATGAGGGCTCAATGAGTCCCATGCAAGCTCATGATGATTGGTTTGTTTGATTTTCAATCTTTTCCAAGAACATCAAGTATGGTGTACACGGGTTTGGCAGGGTGTGCAGTCCTCTATTTGGTCAGCAATGAGTACTAGAGGGGTAAGAAAAAGAATGTTGGTGATTTAGGTGATTGGAAATGTCTTGTCATGTGCTTTGAACCATTACCACATATGGTGTGATATGTGAAAAATGGCTTGAAAATTGAACTCATGTTGGCTCAATTTTGGTAAAGGATCTCATGCACATGATATGAGGATGATGTAGTACCAAAAGATTAAAAAAAAGAGCATTTGATGACTTGGAACGAAAGAAACTCATACTATGTCCAAAAATCAAGTTTTTCAAGCTCAACGTGGCTCAATGGTCTTATAAATCAACAAATGCCATGGAAATTGATTTCAAGATGATTTTAAGGTCCTTTGAAAAAACTTTAATGTTTATTGAAAATGGATTTGAGGTCATGAAGTGGATGAAATTGGTCATTGAAATGAAAGACCTAATACTAGATTTCCAAAAATACCCTTGACTTGTGAAGACCATAACTAGAGCTTCACACATGAGAATGATGAGTTCCAGAACTTTTTGGAAAGATAACACAATGAGGAACAACTCTAATATTCGATAAAAAAATGAGTAAGAGCTTGTTTCCATGGGAACAATGCCTTGGAAGTGAGCTAACTTTGAGTGCCTCTAAAATCTCTTCATCTGATGACACCAACTTGTTGACAGCATAACTTGAGAAGTATAAATCCAATGGATGAGTTCTTGTACTCAAAAGAAAGCTTGAATGATGAGGAACAAGTCTCATGTTTGATAGAAAATGAGGCAATACTTGTATCATAGTGAAATTTGTCCTTGAAGTTAGAGACTAAAAGAGGGGATTTTACACTTGAACTCATCTGAAACCCTAATTTAGTAACCTCTTAAACTTTTTAATCTTATTATCTTAGCTTCAACATGTCATTTGAGATGGTTTAGGATGACATCTCATGACTTCCAAGATCAACACCGAAGCCTTGAGCCCTCTAAAGTCCACAGTTGAATTTTGTTGACCAGATGAAACCATAATTTCTTATCCATTGACTGAGGCTCTTGCAGATGATTTCTGTGACCATACACACTCCATAAAGAACCCTCAAGATGCATATGGAACCCTTTAACCATGTCTCCTCTAAGGAAATAACCTCATGTACCTCCAATCATCCTTAAGATAGGAGGTGATGCCAAAACACAAACTTTCTCCTCTCAAGGAGCTTGTGACCTATCCTGATGGCACTGAGGACTTGTTGACTTGAACACATGCCCTTGCCTGAGCCTTAAACATGAAACTTCTATCTTGAGTGAGGACAACAATATTGATCCCCTGTCTGGAACCAATGCTATGCAAATGCTAAATGCTAAATAATATGAAACATAAGCCAAGATAAAAGAAAAGGTTAGGCAAGTTTTGGGGTGCAACAACTAGGATAAGGGAACACAAGAGTGAGGTCCATGATATTGACATAGCGGTTAACAGGACAAGATTACCCTTTCCTTTGGAGTGGTGTGGGAAAGGCTATCAGGAAAGGAAATTAAACCTGAACTCTATCTTGAGTTGAATAAATGAGAATTAAATTGTATCGGGAATATCCTAAAGGGATATGGCAAATCAGAATCATTAAAGATCTATATCACAACTTCATAGAACCAACAATGAATAAGAAATCGAGGTTATCACCAAAATACTTAGAAACATAATCGAGATAAAGCAAACAATAATTAATCAAATAGAGTTTCTAGAAATCCAGGTAATTAATTAACACTAAATAATCTAATACTATCTAAGATAAATAAACTTAAATTGTAAAATAAATAACATAATCAAATAACTATGGAATATAAATGGTTTTGTTTTTAGTTTTTCTAAGAAGAAGACATGGTCTAAGGGATGTGTTATAAAAAGAAAAAAAGAAGCAAAAAGCCCAAAAAGACGGGGCGCCCTAAAATGGACTGGGTCGGGTCCGACCCAACTATCATTCTCAAACATAAGGTTGACCTAGAAGCCTTCTTACCTCACTCAGGTCAACGGCAGAAGGAAACAAAGTAAGAAGATGAAATCATAAAACAGACCACACGATATAAATGAACATCAAATCCTCTCATTCTCTCTGCGGTTCTAAACTCTTACTAGTTAATCTCTTTTGTCTCACAATGCTCAATGGAGACGCGGCCGAGGTCAGATGAGCAACACATCGTCACTGGTTCATCAAAACAGAAAGATGTCGCGTAAGCTTCCTCTTCTATCTTGCAATTGTTTGTCGTTTCCGCCAATCCCAACCGCGAGTTGTCAATTGGAGTCTAAGAAAAAGTTCTACCCTAATTCTGGATTGAATCATGAAGGCATGATTGGATCGAAAATTAACATAGAGCGTGTTCAGAAATAAGCATGAAATTACACACCTCCTAGAAGTTTTGACTCAATGATTTCGGCAAGGTCGACGACTTCACAAGTGTCTCCTCCCTATCCTTCCTCATTCTTAGCTTCTCTTTTTCTCCTTGCTCGTATTTCCTTCCCTAGTAGTGAGAATGTATTAGAGGAAATGAATGGTGCGGGTCACACAATTTCGATTACCGGTTAGTGAACCTCTGTCCTTTGACATTTCCTTCTGTATGTATGTGTTTGTCATTCTGCGAACATCTGTTACTTTGGTATCAATTCCTGTATGTATTCTGTGATTGTCTGTATCCTTATTTTCATTGATGTGCATGTTGTTGTACCCCAAAATTTGACAAACTGTTTCTTGTGATTTGGCTTACGTTTCGTTTCATTTGCATTTGCATGTCATTTACCGCATACTGTGCATTTTGTCAGTCGAATTGAATTTATCGGGATCACAACCTCTTTGTTCGTATTTCAGACGTCTCAAGCCAGTTGAAATAAGGAGGTTTATTTTGGAATTTGTTCTCTTCCCGGTGATTCAGTTTGTGCTGTTATTTTTGGGGATATTTCGGTGTCCGCCTTTTTACCATTTATTTCGCTGCATTCTCACATTTTTTATTTGCGGCTTTAATTGTGTTTCATTGTGTTTGTTACAGAATTATTTGGGTTTTATAGATTTTATTTTGTCATTTTCTTGGCATAAAAATTAATTTAGGATTTTAAACAGATTTTTAGATTTAATTTCTCTATTTTAGACTTTTTTTTAGTTTTTATAGATTTTAAATAGTGTTTTCTAGAATTAATTGATTTTTAGGAATTTTTCACCCAAATAACCAACCTTACCCCCCTTAATATCCAAACTACCCAACTTTCCCTCATATTCTCCAATCTACCCAACTTTTGTATTTTTTTTTTACAAGGGGGCGCCATGGGGTATGGCTCCTCCCTTATAATTTATATGGGGGCGCCATCCAGGATGGAGGCACCCTATAAATTATAAAGGGGGCGCCATCCCCTTTGGCTCCTCCCTTAAATGACTTAAAGGGGGGCGACATCCCCTATGGAGCTCCCTTTATACGAAAATAATTTTTGAAATATATTATAATTAATATAATTAAAATGTTATATTATGTTATTCCAAATTTTTTTTTATAAATAGGTAGACTTGTTGTTAACATTGTTTCATCCAAATTTAGAAGAGTGAGTCATGTTCCTTAGAAGATATGGGCATGTAATTTTTTCACCAACGAAGCCTCCGATAAGGATGTTGTTTTGGAACATCCAGAGTTTAGAACAACTACGAAGAAATTTGAATCGGTGGCTAGAAGCAGACATTCCAAATGGTGAAAGAATTAGGAGTATTGAAAGACTTGTCTCGTACTTCTCTGTTGAAGACGGAAACATACGGCGGGACTGGGTGCGAATTAGAGATGACAACGAAGTTAGGTCTATGATGTTCGGAACTGATGATATTACTTTTATTGTTGTTATATCTTAGGTTATGTTGTAATAATCGTTGTATTTTAATAATTTGCGTTGTTGTTGTAGAAGTAATTCAATTCGTTTTTGTGGTAATGAAAAGTTAATATAAATATTAAATTCCACGATTACACAAATTTTAAAGACCAAATTAAATCTACCTAGAACTTGTTCCAACATTTGGACAGTTTTTCCTCGTATGCCCGGGAAGACGACATATTCCGCACAATCTTTCCATTTTCTCAGCTGTATCCATTTCAGTTGTAATTCGGGTGCTTTTGGGGCGCCCCTTTTTGTTTCTTCTCATATTTTCATTGTGGTAGATTATGTCTCCATGATAGGTTGGCCAGTAGTCCTCACTAGCTACCACTGGAAAACTGCTACTGTAGATACCGAATAAGTTCACGACCTTGTAAATTTCTGATAGCTGCAAGAATGGATCCTGACGAGCAGTTGAACATGCGGAAATGACATGTGAACAAGGCATGCGGAAGGTTTGAAACTTTCCACAGTCGCACCAACATTTATGAAGTTCCACCCTGTAGTGTCCCATTGGCCGACCCTCGTTGTGATCCATTGTCTCATCAACAATGAAGCTGTAATCGTGACGATCAAATGGTCTAACTCGATGTGAGGCCGCCTTAGAAGTTTCATCCCTCATATACTTCATGCTTGATTCGCTGAATATTTGCCCTTATTGCAGTACATCGCTCCATTTTTTGCCTCTTGCTGCAAAAAGTGACCCCAATCTGTAATACGTTGCCCTTACCAACGCAGTGATGGGGAGGTTCCTAGTTCCCTTAAATACGCCATTTAGGGATTCTACAAGATTTGTGGTCATGTGACCCCATCTACACCCTCCATCAAATGACCTAGTCCATTTCTCGACTGGAATATTATCCACCCACCTTAATGCTTCCACGCTTGACAACCTTATTTCTTCTCGGTAATACATGAACGATGGTTGGTTTAAGGCATACCCAGCGTTGACAACTATTTTACGGAGATTTCTGTCTTTAATTTCCCGCATAAAATTTTGAGCAATGTGTCTTATGCAGAAGACATGGACAGAAGGAGGGTTGTGCCAACCATTAGCAGGATTGTTGTAGGCGCTCACAATAGAAGCATGTCTGTCAGAAATCAGACATAAGTTGGGTTGAGGTGCGACATGTGTTCTGAGATTTCTGAGGAAGAAACTCCAAGCTTCGCCTGTCTCACCCTCCACTACTCCTCCTCATTCCAAAAAACACATCAAATGTATCCAACAATTCAACTTCTCCCATATATTTCCCTCATATATCCACACTATAGAAGTCATATCTCTGTTAACATTGGGTGAAACGCATAGAGGAACACCAAGCAACATCGCGTCTTATGTAAGTAGTTGTACTTGATAATTCACAATGTTCTAATTTCTTGTTTTTACAAATACAATGTTCTAATGTCTTGTTTGTTTTTATGTAGAATTCTCATGACTTTCGTACTCGTGGGCATAAACATTTCCCACATGACCCGTTAATTCAACCTTTTTTGGAGCGCGTGGGATTTGGAGAAGTAATTAACATTACCAATTATCTCCTTGATACCAAGTTTATCTTGGCTCTGCAAGAAAGGTGGCGTCCCGAGACGCACACATTTCATCTTACAATAGGTGAATGTGCAGTTACACTCGAGGACACATACATGTTATTGGGTTTACCCATAGATGGTAAGGTGGTAAACGGTATAACCAATCCTAGAAGTAGTGTCATAGGAGAACTCTTAGGGGTTGAACCAACCCCATGAGATATGAGGGGCCAAAAAATTTTAATGTCATGGCTCAAAAAAATTTATAGAGACTTAAGATTAACTCCAGAGTCTCCTGAAATATTAAAAATTAGAAAAACTCGAATTTATATTATGTTATTAATAGGGTTATTTTTATGTCCGGATACAAGTGGAAACGCTGTTCACTCTATGTACTTACCTTTATTAGAAGATGTAAATAAAATAAAAACATATAGTTGGGGGTCCGCAACACTAGCGCACCTATATCGGTTTTTATGTAACAACTCAATAGCAAATTCGGGAAACTGGACCGGATGTGGTGTTCTTCTTCAAGCATGGGGTTGGTCAAGAATGACCAATCTAGCACCTATCCAACAAAATAATGTTGAATTTCCATTCGCTAAAAGGTAATTATTTTTCCCATTTCTCACTTATCTATCATAGTATTTTAATTAATTAATCATATTATTAATAAATGTTTTCTTTTCGATTTGTAGGTGGTCTTCGCTTGGAATGAATTATGACAACTGTCCACACTACAGTATCACGCAGTACATAAATCTTATTGATCACTTGGGTCAAGATGATGTATACTCACAAACCTTACTATTTATGTTATTCTCTACTTTAATATTATTACAAAATACTTAATATTAATTTTTTCCTCCTACAGTTCATTTGGCGGTCGTATCTTGGTCTAGAAGCCTTTCATGAAGTTGAACGACAAGACTCTGCGGTGTGGAGTGCAAAGGTGCCGATTATCAACTTCACCACCGTGGAAATGCACAACACTGATCGTGTGAAACTTCAATTTGGAATGCTTCAAGATATTCCATGTCCACCAAAGTGCATCCCCGACAAATATCACACCGGTAAAGTCTCCGACCAATGGGAGTATAATCCGTGGACCAAGTATGCAAAACACGAGTGTCGTGAATGGAGGCATCGCAACAACTATGTTTTGTCTGACACTGTGTTTCCATACGAGATGAAACAATCAATACAATACATGACTTGGTATAGGTCTGTATCAATTGGTTTCATTTCACATCCAAGGTATCTAATTGACCCACGCCAACAAGATTCATCATCAAGGCCCCAACAACCAACCCAGCCCTATTTCCAACCGCCAACCCAACCTCATTGCCAACCATCATCCCAATACCATTTCCAACCGCCAACCCAACCCCATTTCCAACCATCAACCCAACCCCATTTTCAACCGCCAACCCAACCCTATTTTCAACCGCCAACCCAACCCTATTTTCAACCCCCACTCACACAATCACAACAATATGAACATACCCCTAACGAATTAACTCCAATCACACAAACTCATTCACAATCCACACAATACCACACATACTACATGGATACTACAAACCAAATAAATACCCCGTTTCAAACACCCAATCAACCAATACCCACCCAATCATTTACACCCATCCCACCATACGATCAGGCAGGCTATCGTCATTGCCTCGTCTAGCCAACCACCCCAAAATAACTATGAAGGCATGGGAAACTCTTTTGATTTGGATGACTTTACGGATATGGATCCGTCTTCATGGGCCGAAGTGATTCAATTGCTTGAAGACGACACAGTGGACCCGACTCCACAACAAAGACCACATCGAAACGTACGTGATCGGGGATGCGGTACGGGCGGACATTTAAACCGACCACGGCATAGAAACTAGTTTACAATATCTTTCGTATTTGTGATTCAACAATTATTGTAATTATTATTTAATATTAAATTTATTAAATACAATTTGATTTTTTTTTAATTATTTGAAATTTTTTAATGCTATTATAAATTATTATTTATTTATTATTTATAAAATATATAAAAATTATTCAGAAATTATTATTATATAATTATTTTTTTTAAAATATTTTTTATTTATTAAATATTATTTATTAAATACTTTTAAATTAATTATACATTTAAAATTATAAAAAAAAATCAAATTTAAGGGAGGAGCCAAAGGGGATGGCGCCCCCTTTATAATTTATAGGGTGCCTCCATCCTAGATGGCGCCCCCATATAAATTATAAGGGAGGAGCCATACCCCATGGCGCCCCCTTGTAAAAAAAAAATACGAAACTAGGGTAGATTGTAGAATATGATGGAAAGTTGGGTAGTTTGGATATTAAAGGGGGGAATGTTGGTTATTTGGGTGAAAAATTCGATTTTTAGAATGATTTAGATTTTTTAGAATTTATTAGTCTAGATTACAGTTGTTTAGAAGTTTAGTTTGGATTTTGTTATCATTTAATATTAGAATATTAGATATCATTTTAGTGGGATTTTAATGAGTTACTATTTTAATTAACTGAGTTAGTTTTAACGTGGCATCTGTTTTTAGTATTAGGTTAGTTTTATTATTAACCAGCTTTTTAGTTAATGTCACTTAGTTTAATCATCTTTTAGTTCAATTTATTTTATTAATCAATCATTAATTGTGCATGCTAGTAATTACTCAGTCAACTAATCAGGTTTTCGTAGGCCAAGTGTCAGGACTATAAGTAGTCCTATTCACACTCTCTCTCATAATGAATGCTGACATGTTTCCCCAAAAAAACCCTAAAGCTCCTCCACCGGAAAAATTAACGGTCGTCCAAACCTCGTCGGAAACTTCATCAAGCTCGCCGAAAATTTCATACATTCATCAAGATTTTTCCAGTAGCATTCAAAACTTCATCAAAGTTTTCCAGCAACATCATACGAATCTTCATAATTTCTCAGATCCATCTTCAAACATTCAAACAATCTTCATACCTTCATCAACATTTTTTCCATATCTACATTCAAACCTTCTTCATCCTTCGCATCTCTAGAAAGCTTCAACTGAAACTCATAGATCTTCATAGATCAAACCAAATCTGAACTACGTTCATCTTGTCCAACCTATAAACTTCATCAATGGAACAAACCTTTAAGTGATCTTCATCATTAATTGCCAGATCTCGCTAGATCCAAAATCAACCTTTCGACACATAAACCTTCATCATATCTTCATCAATTTTATCCAACTTCAACCAAATCCAGATTGAAACCCTTACATCAACATACCATTAAACTCTAGACATTGTTCTTCGAACTATCATCAACTCCAGATCTAAAACTCAACTCAAAATTCTTCAACATCAGAACGTCTTCATCTAAACTCTGAATCCACTCATCTCCTTCGCATCTTCTCCCACCAACACTCAACATGCAAACCATCGGACTCACCACCTCCATATTCTTCTCTTCTTAAACCAAACTTACACCTATTTTCTTAGCACTCAACAAAAATTGGACTAAGCTGCTTTTGGATTGTTGTGATTTTGTGGATTTGTGCTTTCGTCTGTTCTTGTAGGTTGTACGTAGATGATGATGATGTTTAAAGGGAACAGAATTGAGAGTATGAGGGACGGATATCTTGGTCAGCAAAGTGAGGGTGGATGATGTTAGGGTTTGTTTCTAAGCAAGGATCTAATGTTGAAGAAGAAGAAGGGAGCTAGGTTTTTTTCGTTTAGCTTTTAATGGGTAAATGGGCCTCGCGGCCCATTGTTTTTCTTTTTTTTAATCGCTGCACCCCTCGATCCAGTCATATGCTTCTCTGTTTGTTGTTGTGTTGTTGGTTTGGGCTTCCAAACCCTCAAGCCCACCATGTGGATTTCTGGACTACCTCCCTGTTTGACTGTACCCCCTGCCCTTTATTTTTGTATTTATTTTAGTTTGTAATATACTTTAATACATGTATATAATTTACTATTTTTTCTATTAGAAAGATTTATGTATTATATTTTTTCTTTTAGATATTATATTTTATGTATAGAGTTTACATATTATATTTTATATACCTATTTTCTTTTTAAATTTATATAGAACTTTTATTTTTCTACTAGAAGTTTATTTCAATTTTAGAAGCTGATTTCTTCTTCCCATTTGTTATTGGGCTTTTCATCCCTTTTTCATTTTGTTTTGGCCGCTGACGAGACCTCCGTAAACGTTGTTAATCAAATTGTTGATGGATAATGTAGAATCTGAGACCACTTCTTTCTCTCCTCATTTTTCTTCATCTCTCGATTTTATTTTAACTTTCTTCTGTTTTGGTCTGTGTGACACGATTCAATTGGAGAATGATTCTCAATATCACTTCTCTATCTTGTCATTGACACGGATATCAATACACAACCTCCTATAGCTTGACTTCCATTTATAAGTTAAGTTACGACGGTTTAGCATCACAGTGGTCCCGATTCGATTCGAAACGTCATCATCAAGGATCAAAAGAGGAGGAGCTTGGAAAGGAAGCTAGCACGCAAACTCAAGGGTCAGCGGAACCACTCCAATCGGTAACATTGTTTTTATTTCATTTCTTTTATGCAACCGTCGAGTGTTGTGAGTTGTAGCGTTAGATACGTTGGAAATGATGAGTGGGGGTCCTTCTCTCATTCATCTAGAGTTTTTAGCGTATGTCATTTGGACAATATGCGACGCATTCGCTCCTACGTCTTAGGACTTAGCGTGTGCGTCCCGTTCCGAACCTTTTCTCTCGCATCCTGGCGATTGAGATCCCTTCTCTTGCCCCTGTGCAATCTAGACCGCTTTTCCATAGTTAGACGAACTACGGCTGCTCTGACCTCTCATGTTTGATGAGAGTACGTAGGCATAGGATTGCGATAATCCTAGCTAGCACTTTTCCCTCTTTCCTATAGTTGGATGAACTACAACTGCTCTGATTTCTCATACCAGATGAGAATATGAAGGCACAAGACGACGATGTCTTGGCGATCAACCTCCCCCATAGTTTCCCGAACTACGATGACTTTGACTTTTCCATTGCACGAGGGAATATGTAGGCATAGGGCGAAGATATCCTATCGAGTCATTTCTTTACGTTTAGCTTTAGCAGACGTAGATAGTTTGTTTTTCACCCATAGACTAGACAACAAGTGTGGATCCCGTCGCGTACGACGGATGTGAGGGGTGCTCATACCTTCCCCTTACGTAACCGACTCCCGAACCCGAGATATGGTTGCCATGACCTGTCTTCTCCCTTTTCGTTAGGTTTTCTCTGATCATTTCCTTTCTCTCTTTTGAGATAAATAACGAACGGTGGCGACTCTTCTGTCCTTGCCTGCCCCTCTTCGCAGCGATGCGACAGCTAGCGACTCTATTGGGGACTTTTCCCATCCCCTATGCGAGTCAATCCTAGCGTTTGTTTGCTTGTCTCTGAGTGTGTATTTTTATGTGTGTTGTATTTTGTATACTGCTATGTTTACATTTTCCGCACTCTATTATTATCTGTTTCTGTTGTGTTGTTGGATGCTTGTTCCTTTGAGAGATAAGCCAAAACCCAGGCTTCAGTACATACATAACATTAGAAGTGGAAAGTAATGGTGAACCTGTATGTTTGGCATGCACTAGTTCCCACGAAATTCGCGCTCAGACGAGATTCTCTCTGATGACTTCTTTTCTGGACCTTTGGGCTCGAGGGGATTTTGGATCTGAGGATTGTCGAATCTGGGGACCGATCACTTGGGAGTCAGCTAAGCGAGGCCGCTTTGTTAGACTATGATGCTAAACCAAAAATGGTGAACGTATCATTATTTCTCGAAAGTCTGTGACGCTGACGACCGCATATGATGCCGAACCTTACCAGATTAGGTCCATACTTTTGAGTGGGAGGGTTTTTGCAGGAAACTTGACTTCCAGCCAACCCAATATTTTGGTTTTCTCTTCAGAGTTAACTTATCCAATTTTTATCATAATAAATCCAATTTTTATCCAAAAATTATTTTAAAAATATCTCAATGATCTTGGATTTGTTTGGGATTTTCTAAAATCAATAAATCTCACTTTCATCCATTTTTCAATTTTATTTGATTTTTCTCATTTTCATGTGATTCCATTTATTTGCATAATTGTTCATCTGTTTTGCTGAATTTTGTTCTTTCAATTGGTGTTGATTCTGGCTGATATCTTTAGTATGTTGTAGATAACATGTTTAGGTTCCCTTAGGAATTTTGGTAGAATTTTAAGACCACTTTAGGTTCTGTTTTAGGGTTGTTGATTAGAACCTTCCCAAATAATGGTTTCCCATGACCTAGTTTCACTTAGGAATGGTTTAGATGACTTGGAAGTTGATTTAGGTCTTGATTTTGGAACCTTAGAGTTTTCAAACATGCATGATCCCATAGGAATTTTATTAGAATTCTAAAACTTAGTTTGCTATTTTATTTGGATTTTACAAGTGGCTTGTGCTTGTGGTATCCTATCTTGAGTGCTTTGCCTTGTTTGGAGCTTTTGGTGGGTTTGGAGCTTGAAGATTTTGGACTCCTTTTTGGAGGAGCTTCTAGACATGATGAAGATGCTTTGGATTGGAGGATGGAGCTTGGAATGGAGCTTTCTTTCTTTTTTTAGAGTTTGTTTTAGGAGTTGGTAGAATTAGGGTTTCAGGAAGAGCTTTTCAGACTTAATTCATTTCTTTC